GTCCGGGATTATATCCGGGATATGATCGACATTTTTTCCGGGGTATCTTAACAACCAATCAAAACGAACTTCTGCTAGGTTTTTGCAACATACAAAAGGCACCAGCTTACCACCCGGTCATGGTTTTTCAGACGGGTTCAATTAATAGATTTAGTGTTTGGATCCGTTAAACAAATCCGATGGATATCCGACTATTTTAATCCGGTGGATATTTTTTAGGATATCCACTGAATCATCCGCAATTAGCGCCAGAGTTATGTGATGCTGAAGTTATTTGTAACGGTAATAAAGCATTTTGATAAAACAGTGACATATATTTAAAAAATAACAGGTTTTTTTCGAGTGGATGATTAAATTTCTACTTCATTATTGTTATCCTGTAATACTCCTGCGTACAACGGAAATAGAGCTTTTAGATTAGACAACTTATGTACTTGAATTATCAATTTATTAAACAAAGAATTCTTGTATAAATATTTCACTAGATAGATTAATGCCCTTCCTCGTCTCCTCCACGTTGTTCTGGTTCAACCTAAGAATAAATAAATTTTTAACGTTTTCAACTTAGAATCTGAAAAGTTATAACAAATAAATTGATGAAATAAAAATGTCAACATACCTTGATCATATCATCAATTCTGAGAATCGAAATGGCTGCTTCGGTTGCAGACTTGAGCGACTTAATCTTGGACATGGTGGGTTCTAAAACACCGGCTCGTAAATTGTCTCTAACTTCTCCTTTAAAGAGCTCAAGACCATAATATTTAAGGTTTTTCTTTGGATCATCCGGCAGTGCATTTTGTGATGCATTATGATATGCTCTCAATTTCGCGACTAAATCGGTTGAATCCTTTGCTGCATTAACAGCTAAAGTTTTTGGAATAGCAAGGAGTGCATTGGCAAATTCCGCAATGGCAAGTTGTTCACGTGATCCCTAAAAATGTTATAAATATGAAATGCATATAAATTTAAAACGTCATGAGCAGAGATTTGATTTATTACCAGTGTTGTCGCAAAATTTTCTAAATAGATGCTCAACGCAGACTCTACTGCACCACCGCCTGATACTACGCTACCACTTTCCAAAGTCCTTTTGACAGCCGACAATGAGTCATGTAAAGATCTTTCCATTTCATCCAACATATAGTCATTAGCTCCACGTAATATGATTGAAGCTGAACTTTGAGCTTTAGTGCCCTTAATCAAAATACATTCATCATCGGAAATTCTCTCTTGTACGACTTCATCTGCTGAACCAAGATAAGATGCCTCGAATGTTTCTTCTCCTTCGAGATTTGCAAGCGTGGAAACAAGCGTAGCTGGCGAAGAAGATAAATTTATTACACTTCCAAATATTTATATTATTCATATATGTGTGGATAATGATAGCCTCAAGCGAACCTACCTCCAGTAGCTTTAGCAATTCTTCTGAGGTCATCTTGTTTACATCTACGAACTGCCATAGCGCCAGCATCCACAAAAAGTTTTAAGCAAAGGTCATCTATTCCCTTTGTTGTTAAAATAACATTTGCACCGGTTGCGAGAATTTTTTGCACTCGTTCAGTTGTTATGGAGGCCTCACTAAAAATAAAATATGTTATCGTTTATCTGATCTAATCATAAAATCTTTAAAAATTTACCGTTTACGGATGTCTTCCAATTTATCTGGATCATCAACAGTAATGTGAACCCCAAGGTGCATTCTTGCCTTTTGAAAATTCATGTCAAGACATGCAATTTTTGCATTTAAAATTCTTGTTTTCATGGCTAAAAAAAAAAAAAAAATTTGTTATTAACCACCTTAGAAATTCCAAATAAACAAGATTTACCGTACCTTGAGCCGCTATGGTACAGTTAAGTGCGTAACCTTTTACAAGAATCGACTCTCGAGCGCTTTTACCATGTGCTTTAAGAATATTCACAGCTTTTACGGGATATTTAACTTCTCCACGTGAATTTATAGATTTTACCGACTGAATAGCATCAACAACAATATTCGCAAAAAAATCATCGTCCCTTTTTGACATGAATAAAATTTCAATGTTAATAAATATATACACTGGATAAATTATAAATTGGATCTGTCAGCGATAAATTCTTACATTCCAATGATCTTGCTAGATATACTTGTCTTTGCAACACTCACTAGACATTCACGTCCCAATGTATCAACTTTAGTGCTGAGATGATCAGCAATATATTTACATGCCTCTTTGCTCGCCAATCGATAACCAGTTATAATTGTAGTCGGATGTATTTTATTTTTTACAAGTTCATTTGCACGACGAAGTAATTCAGCAGCAATAATAACAACCGACGTAGTTCCATCGCCAACCTCCTTATCTTGTTGCTGAGCGAGTTCTACAAGAACTTGTGCAGCAGGATGTTCGACTTCAAGCAAATTCAAAATTGTAGCACCATCATTTGATATTGTAACATCCTGAATTTCAGGTTTAAGAAAGAAATCGGATCATCAATTTAAACAAACATAATCGATAAAAACTGGGTCATAAAAAATTGACCTTGTGATCTACGAAGTTTGTAAAGCCTTTGTGAGACCCACCCCGATATCATCAACAAGCATTTTATCTAGTCCTACTGGTCCAAGTGAGCTTTTCACAATATTTGCGATCGACATCACGGCAAGCACTAAATGGATTAAATATTGAAAGATTTTTTTAAAAAAACATTTTTATTTTAAATAGTCAAAAAAATTTATCATTTGTCGGATCTCAGTTCTCTAAATATGAAGGTCCGGTTTTAAAATAGAATTTAGCCTACCATTCTGATTACGAACTTCGCTGCCAGAAACGCGCTCTCCACCAAGAAAAAGCGATGTGCTACGGTCGCGTTGATACATTATAATTTATTTTCTAGAAAGGTACGTACGTATTATCTTTGGAGCTTTCAAAAAAAAATTTAAGTTATATCGAGGTAGGACCGTTCCATATTTGGAAGATGGTTACACAAGCGATTCAACTGATTTTTTTTTATTTTATCTCGAATTAAACAATATTCAAAATGCAAAATTATCTAGATTTTTTTTTAAAAAAAAATACAGTAGACAAATTTAATAATACAGTACATTATATACTGTGTATAGTATATTATAAAAAGATTATTATAAGCTAATTGTGTAACTACATAAAAGTAACATAAAAAAATAGTAAATTATTTTGGAAGTTTCGATTATAAAGAAGATAATCTTACAGTATATTTTTTAAAATATTTTTATATATTAAAATATTTATTATATACTATTTATTATAAAACGTACCTATGGTAGTTTTGTATCTATTATATAGTATATTTTTATATACATTTTTTTTTAATTTTTATATAAAATTTTAGCACAAATTTTTCATACTGTAGTATTTAATGCTAAAATTAAGGTTTGGAAAAGATTTTGAGCATTTTTACTTAGGGTATCGCAATTAGCCAGTTTTTAAAATATTGCAACATAATGATAAATAGTAAAATATTATAGATGCAAAAGCAAAATATTATTATTATAATAATAACTAGTTGTAAACCCATACAATAATGCACAGGAATTATTTAATTGATGATCCATTTGTCACCTGGAGGGGATCTCATAAACAGAAATTCGTCTGATTAGCTAATGTAGATCAGTTGCTCGAGTAACTTATTTATACACTTTAAAGTACTTTTTGAGAAATACAACATTTCTATGTGTAGATTTGCAAATTGATCTAAAAAACTAGCCAATCAAACAAACTTCTGTCTATAAGAGGGATCTGCAAAATTTTATAAGTAAAGTTTACTATTGATCCAAATATGGCGAGCCTAAATCTAAAACTTTTTTTTTTTACTAAAACAATCAATCTTGTCAATTAATTAAAAGTTGTAGAGCTCATCAAGACATATTTAATGATGATAAGAGCATCAAAATTAGCCTAGTGGTTCTTGAAATATCTTTAAAAAATATCTTGCATACATATAAAATTCCTTTAGTGCACTTAAAGATTGTATACTTAGAGCTATCTTTTATTTTCTTGTACTTATAAGTTTTTTTTTTTTAATATATATTTTCAACCTTTATATTTGGCTTAGTCTTAGTTTATACTTGGTTTTTTCAATCATAAACATGTCAAAGATTTTGGCTATACAATTTTTTTTTTTGTATAAAAACTTTTTTTAATAGTTAAAATGTGAATATTAATTTCTTACTGTTATACAATCAAATTTCCAACAGCAAGGTTAGGGTCCCATAGCCTAGTGGTCTAGGCGCCTAACCCTCCACAGACGAGATTAATGGTTCGATTATAGCTGGTAGTAATTAATTTAATTAATTATCTCTGTAACCTACAGGAGTTATCAAATACGAAACCCTGTGATGATAAGACCATGTGAAGTACTTATTTGGCCTATAAAGAATTCTTGGAAGGAGTCCCGAGCCAT